ATATTAATATTGTAATGAAGGAATTATCAACTAATATTTCTGATGAAAATCAATTAGAACAATTGAAAACACCTTTAATGGAAATCGATAAATCAATTAGTAGATCAGAAAGAATGAAAGGAAACGATCAGTTATCATCAAGTGAAAAATGTAGAGAGATGGCAAATGGTGAAGATATGAAACAAAGACTAGAGCGTGCATTAAAAAATCCATCTTTTAAAAAAGGTCGATTCGATGTAAATCATGTTCGTTTTCGACAAATCGGTACATCAACCGAACATATTTTAATCGATAATGGGCCAAAATTGTTATTATTTCATAAAACTGGTTCCAATAAAGTCGAAATAGAGTGGAATCGAGAAAGAAATGGTTTTATTAAAGATATTGTTTGGTGTTGTTATCTAAATAAATTTATAATATTAGGGGTAAATATTTTATTTACATTCGATTGTACACAATTCAATATAGAACAAATTCAAAATCAAGACTTTTCGTATTTAAATTTTATTGGCGTACAAAATGAAAATTTATTATTAAATTTTAGTAATAAACGTATTGAACATTGGCAAATGAATATGGATTTAAAATTAAAATTTATTCAACGTTGGTCTCATCTCAAACTTGGTTATGATATGAATGAATCGTTATTGAGATTAAATATAGCTGGTGATCAATTAGCAATTAATATTAAAAATAATCAAAAACAATTTGTTATTGATGTCTATGATGATATTTATAAAATGAATCGTTTATATCGTGTTAATGATGAAAAATACAATCTACGATTGTTGTCAAGTATTTATGATAATCAGTGGTTATCTATTAATGACGCAACAAAACAATTATATCATATTGAAAATAATAGATTAGTAGAAATTAAATATAATCGAGAAATAGTCTACTATATACACCAAATTTTGTTCTTAGATAAGAAAGATTTTCTAATGTTTACGTATGAGTCGACGACTACAGTACAATTGTTACTATATAAATTAGATATATAAGTTATTTATGACAATCAAAGGTCCTGTTATACATTTTCTTCTCAAACACTCATCATTATTATCAATATAATTGAAAAATAGAATGTCAGTATATTGGAAGTAATGACAATTATATTAAATATACGTATTTTTATAAAAAAACGTAAAAAAGCCAAAGAATCTATCCCTGTTATCGTACATAATCTTGTATGTTCATTTTTTTTGTTTTTGTACTGCATAATGTATTTCCAAAATAAATGTAATCTCAATTTCATTTCATTGATGCGCTATTGCTGTTATGAATGTCGCGGGGGGGGGGGGGGGGGGGGGGGGGGGGGGGGGGGGGGGGGGGGGGGGGGGGGGGGGGGGGGGGGGGGGGGGGGGGGGGGGGGGGGGGG